ATCCAAACCATATCTATCAGCTGCAGCTAATAAATGTTGTATCATTATTGTAGATGTACACATTGAAATTGAACCAGTCAATTCATGAACATCAGGAAGCTCATCCGAATATATGAAAATGAGCATGGCCTGCAGCAGAGAGAAGTCAAATAACAAATTTGAGCACGAAGAAGTAAAAATTAGCTTTCTACAAATATCATAAATTAACTTTCTAAAAATTTGCAGAAACTATTCTGGAAAAAGAAAAGATTCTAAAATGAACATCCATATCCATAGCAGTACATTTAAAGTGCTTAGTGTCTGATAGTAAGGAATGACATTAAATTGTCAAACAGAATATAATGCCATATTATAAGAAATTGATGTGAATGCAAATGGTAACTGTAAGATTTATAATCATGTTCTAAGTAAAAGTTGTGCCATACTATTTTATCGAAATTTGTTAAATATGGTTCCTTTTTTGTTTTGAAGGTTAACCACAATGTCAGCATGTTCTTCAATCTGGAATAAGTCATTGATTTAGGCAACAGAAATTAAGCTAGGCCATCCATACATCAAGAACAAATCTGCAACATGTGAATGTTAAACAATTGAAAAAAAAAAGTAGAGGAAAAAAGATATAGGAAATACAAAAAGAAGTATCTGAAATATGAGCCTCAAAGCATTATGCATGTTTAAAAAGTTCAAGCACCATGAATAAAGCCACTGAGCAGAAGCAAGTCTATTTGACAGAACCAGACAAGAATCACTTAAACCTTTAACCATATCGAGAAAAGGTTCCAAAAGAAAAGAAAGGTAGGGTTCATGACTATCATATGTTCAACCAAAACAGTCCTTATAGGTCAAACAATATACCTGTCAACAATTTTCTTTTACCTGTCAATAAATTACTGCAAAACAAATGCCACTTGCCAATGCAAAAAAATAAGGGCCAAGGAGATTAGGACCAACGTAAGTCATAAATTTTTCTTCAATGTGGATAAAGTCCCTAGAAGAAGAGGTGATTTCTCTCTCTGAAAGAGTATCAGATACAAGAATCTTGAGTATGTTGAGAAGTGGTAAAAAATTGGTTGCAATTTCTTTTCTTCTTGACTGGATATATGCTTGCGTTAAGTTGTAAGTTCAATTATTAAAATATCAACTCAAAAGAAAGCCTATATATGTTTATTAGAGAGTAATTACTATCTGAAAGATCCACAATTTCTAAGAGCATAAGAGCCAGCCGCATATCCCTTTTAATCTTTCCAACAGAGGTGAACGCAAAAGCTGCAGTGCCATTACCTTGAAAACAGGGGGTTCCACATCCTCTACATCTACTCTATCCACATTAGGATTCCCAACGAGGCCATAGAATTGGGCATTAAATACCGGAGAGCGAGCAGCAAGAATCCGCTTGTGCGCTTTAAATGTCTCATCCCCAACATGAAAAACTATGTCAGAACCAATGCCAGATTTCAACAGCTCCTTTAGACACTGACCCAAGTCTGGTGATGGTACACTAACGGAAAACTGTGTTGGTGTTTCGATACGGTTCCTGACAACACCAACCGTACAATGCATAATCAGACAGTCGTCCTTGAGGTAATCCGATGTTTCTAAAGCTGTTCTTCTGTAAAATCTCTTGTAGCCCCTAGCAAAAATGAGAAATACTTTACACCATCATAAAGTTTAACAGTAATGATAAAAAAAAACCTAAAACAATGAATATGATAAGAAACAGAGTAAAAAAAGGCAACAGAACTGCCCCAAAAAAGGACTGAACAAATAATTATATACGACATTGGTATTATCACTCTAGAGGATAGGCCCTTGTATCAAGGGAAGGTTATTCTTTTGTAATCTAAATCATCAGTAATCAAGTTACAAAAATGTTCTCTATGACTGCATGGGTAGGATTTGCATACATCGAAGCTCCCCAGACCCCCTGTTCGCAGAAACTCGTACACCAGGACGCCCTTTATAGTGGTATTGCCACCCTAATTGACTGGCTGCAGTCGACAAATCAAGCTTAAAGTGACTCTCTCTGTATCAAACTTTTAATAGTACAATTCTTTTAAATATACCAAAAGTATTGTTTCTTCATATGAGAAAAAGAAAATCTATCTCAAAGTATAGTAGAAAACTCAAGAATTCAGAAACTGCCTATTCTATCATCTAGGAGGTGGATGTCGGCATCCATTCCTAGCCTCAAGTAGTTATCTACTTGTGCACAACCAGAGTCAAATGCGACATGATACGAGATAATAATTCAAAACGATGTGCATATAACTTCGGCATCAGACAACGGGTTAAAGAAATAAGAAGTGGATGCTCTGTATGAAAGAAAAAGATCAGGGCTCTGTACGATTAATCAGAATCGTAACACATAAAGATACATCGAGCAAAATGATGTCTCCATCTCGAAAGAGGCCAAGAAACAGGGCTTACCACATGCTCCCTCGGTACTTAAGGGTGTACGGCCCGCCCTCCAACGCCCGCTCGAAGTGACTGTGCACCTTGTGGCGGTCCTTGCCGCTCTGGTCGAGCATGGTCAGCTCGAAGAGTGCCCGCACGTCGGTCCCCTCGCTGGCCAGGGCGATGAACACGGACACATAAAGAGAGTTGTCCTCGGGGTTCTTTCCGTCGGGGTAGAAGTAGATCGCCCACTTGTAGCCCCCCACATCGAAGGTGCCGCTGGACATGTACTTCCCCAGCCCCATCCCCTTGGCCAGCGAGAACCCCTGGATGGTGTACCGGTGCGACCCATTCACGGTCTCGCACACCGACTTCGACTGCGACACGTTGATGCCGCCCCTATCGCCATGGACGACCTTCTCCATCTCATTCCAGAGATCCGGCTTCGTAGAACCCCCTCCCCTCCCCAGGAACCTCGAACCCTAACCCTAATCGAAATCCTCCCCAATTCCCCGACAATTTGCGACGGGGAGGCCAAATGGGGGGCGGACCGCGGGGGTCTGAGATCGAAATTGGGGGATTCGAGGGAAAGATTTGTTTCGAATCGAAGAAGGGAGAGGGTTTGACGTCTATCGAAGAGAGATGTCTGGAAGAATGGGAGGGGTAAAGAGGCGAATTAGGTTGGAAAGGGCTAAATGGCGAAAGCGAAGAATGAAAGAAGGGTTTAGAATTTATAGAGACAGACAGAGGAAGAAATAAAACAGGAAACCGACGTGTGTGATATGTAAGGCGTGCAAATGACCGCATATTAAATGTCTCTGCGGTAACACTTGGGTTCCATGGATCTCGATATGTCGATCAAATCGAACGGCATTCTCAAAGCAGCGCCGAAGCCGATTAACGGGTTGGATTGGAATGGATGAATTATATAACAGATTATGTTATATATATATATATATATATATATATATATATATATATATATATATATATATAATCGAAGGAAAAATAATCAAGTGATTTGGGCATTCATGATTATTGTTATATTTCGATGGAAAATGAGGACTAAGGTACAAATGAATAATATTAAGATATGAGTAAATCACATCCAATGTGCATTCAAATTATACTAAATTATCAAAAATAGTTCACCAAGTTAGAAACTTTTATGCTAGCATTGCCATATCGATTTTTTTTTTTAATGCACGTGATGAACATAAAATTCAATCATAATATTTTACTATTAATAATTAAGATCTTCATCGGGTAAGCATGATATGCCTAAAATTTTGGCATCGACTAAAGAGAGAGAAAAAAATTGGCTAAATTAGTGAATTCTTGAAATAGAAACATAATTTTTGTACCAAAAATTACTTATTAGTATATATAATTAGAGTCTCCTGATTTAAAGCATGAATTATTGTTATACTTTCAGATGTAGATATTGGGGAATAAATGCCCTCTAACGTATCTGACCATGGAAGCTTGACTTGTGATGTCACAATCATTGATGACTAATAGAAGGCACTTATAAGATTATTAACTTATAGTGATTTGATGAGCTGTGTTACCTAAGGACAGATGCATTTGATTTGACTTACAGAATTACTCTTGGCATTTGATTACAGCTATAAAAATTATATATGTCAAATTTTAATATCAAAATCTGAAATCAAATAATAATATATTTGAATTTACGATGCACATATTCTTAAATAAAATTATCTAATTTACAAACATACCATCGTTGAAGCTGAAGATTATAATAATATTAATACGTAACGAGAATTTGATTTATCATCTAATTACTGATGGATCGGTATAATATGTAATTTCTCAGTAATATCGAGTCCCTATCATTTCAAACTCTATCATACTTACATTTTTTTTTAATTATTTGATAATTATAATTTAATTATATTAATAATATATCTTACTTAATTAAATAATGCTACACAATCTAATATTGATATCGTAATTTAATTTAATTTTTAATATATTTTTTTTAAAAAAAAATATTTTTATATTATATATTTTTAATTAAAAAAATAACGATTCAAACCGAACCTAATCAGGCAAGCAGTACTCTTCTGTAGTGGCAATGGTTTGCCTATTCAACCATTGGGTCCCATCAACCCTTTCCAATGTTCGGCTGACACCGAGTCAATTAAACTAAAGCTGAGACCCTCCACTCTACAACCAACTAAGCGAGACCTGTAAAGAAGAAGCGAAAACAAATGATGAGTCGTGGGGCTTCACTAACGTGCCTCCATGTCGGATCCGATAATTCAAAGTCCGGATCCGCAACTCAACAACGGTCCTCGTGTTATCAAATTCGGATATGGATCACAAGCGGGCACGATCCGAATCCGATCCAGCGATCATAATCAAAGCAAAGCACGTCGTGCGAGGGGCGGTCACCACACATCACCCCCCGCCCCCCACGAAAGAAAAATCATGTCCGGCTTCCACGTGTCGGAGCCGCAATGGTTCTTGGGTTTTCGTTGAATGAAGGAACGAGTAGGATTGCCGGGTTTGTGGCGTCGCGGACGCTTGCGTCTAAACAGGTAAACCTCAAAAAACACCACCACGGGGGGTGACAGACTGTCGATCTATTTGATTTGTGGTGTGCCTCCGCCTTCGCTTCCGCCTCCTCCGCCTCCACCTTTTCTTATTCGCCTTCCATCTCGCTTCGACGTCGCCAGCGATCGCGCCCTGCTCCGCCATGGCCTCTCCGCTCGAATCGTGCTGGCTGGTACTCTCCCTCTCTCCCCCTAATGTCGTGCTTCGGATCAGTTTCGAAACGGAGGCCGAGAGCGGATTCGTTTGTTCGAGCGCCTGTTATCTTTGAACTTCGAGCTAACCACGAGGACTCGTTGGTTGAGTAGGTTGTGATCACGATCTAGTTCGTCGTTGTGGTTCTTTCACCTCTGGATTGTGCTTTGGCGTCGCTCAACATGCCGATCGAGGCATTGTGTAGGTAAATGGTCATGTGTCACATTGGCGTGAGGCTTGACGTGATAATAAGCACGAGAACACGTTTTTCCAGCCCAATTTCTTTTTCCTTTGCGAACTTCATTTCGTCACCTTGTCAGATGATCTGTTGGGGATTTGTCGTGGGGGATTTTTAGCCATTGGTTCGGGGGTTACGGCTTTCCAGCTTGAAATGTGACCCAAATGCATACCGTTTTGGAGTTAAGTTTTCAAAGCGGTTCTTCCTGATAGGGATTTGACCCGTCACTCCAAGAATACGATGCTCCTCTGGTCTTGTTATGAATTCACTTTGCTCATCGTAGGCTTCGCTTGAAATCTTATGATCGATTTGAACGTGGGCCACTAGTTCTTGCGATAAAATATAACGTTTTCAGCATAGTGATGTTCTCTGTTTATAGTCTATTATTAGGGATCGAAAATGAAGCTAGCAGGATGATGCGAACACTTGCTTGTTAGTTAAAACCAGAATGATTGGTGATCATTATGGTTCCATCTAACATACATGATGTAGAAGCTATATGGACTTGTTCTAGTGAGACCCTTTGAATTCTCTGCTTAACTTTTGATGTTGAGGGATCATTATGTTCTGGCTCTTACAGCTACCATGTCGGTGATTTAATGTAAAATATGATTCAGCCACAGAACAATTTGATGTTGCATGTTCATGGAATGATGATTGATGATCAGAAAAGGCTGGCAAGACTGAGGAGCAATATATATGCTCAAACATTTAGATCCTTTTACTTGCGAATTGTAGCCCTTTTCATTAAGGAACTGCACAAATTAACCAATCTACAACTTTTTTTTCTTATCTTGCCCTAAGCTTTAGTGCGGCGTCTTAAGTAGAGTTGTCGTTTCAAGTATGCCGTGTTGGGTTGCCAACAACACCTTTATGCTTTCCTGCTCCAGCTATTTGCTAGAAGCTGTTCTGCGGAGCTTTGTTGCTAACACTCAGGAAGAGGATGCCACTACTGTTGCATGATGACCATCATCTTATAGTTGTTGGAATGTCAAAAGCCCAAGAGAAAATTGAAATTATTGGAATTATACTTAACTTCATCATTGTTGGCTAGAAAAAACAAACACCTTTGTTTTGGATGCATTGATGAGAAACTAACAAGCAATTATTGGTCAATTTTCTTGAAATCTATTAATAATTAAGAAATCTTTTTGGATTCTAGAACACAAAGCTAAATACCGAATAAATGGTACTATGTCACTCTCACTATTATCTGTGCATTACCTTGAGGTGGGTTTATTTGCTTTGTTGTTGTTAAATTTGAATAATTTCTTTTTTGATCTCTTTCCCGGAACTCAATTAATTAGATTTTGATACTTTCATCTACAAAACTCTAAAGTAATAGCGCTTGAGAAAAGTGAGATTCATGTGCTTTACCTGCAGGCATGCTTTGAGGAACTAATATGTCCTCTAGTGCTTTATTTGCAAGAATGCAATCCTTACAGCATTAGCATAAAAACTTAATATTCATAATTGTGATAAGTTGTTGGTGCTCTGTTCTACTTATAACTACTGTAATCCTCAAAACTTGTAAGAGCTTTTGTATGTAATTTGATGAAACAAGAGCTTAATCTGAATAATTACTGGAGCTGTCAGAATTCTTTAATGTCAGTAACAGGTAAAACTTGCTATTTTATAAGCATATACAATTTAAATAATTCAGGGCTTTAACTCATAGTTGATATTTTGACACCCACAGATCATTTAGTTCTTATGAATTTAAGACATGACCTGTACAAGTTGTTTAAAGTAATTGATGAGGTGCTTTTAAAATTAGTTGTCTTAGAAACTCTTCAGGCAAAACACATACTAATAAGAAGTATGTCAACCTTTGTGAATGTGGCATTTGAGTTTGCATTATTGCTTATAATACTATGCTGCTTGGATTTAATTATCTTCTTTCATATTTGTCACGTCGACAGTTAACATGTCCATATTGAATTTGTTTGCCAGTAGTAACAAGTGAATTATGACATCATCTTCCATAAATTGGCTGGCTAGCGTGTGAGCACATAGGTTTGGCCTTTTTTAATATAAAGAGGGTATTTTCCCTTTTCACTGATGAAAATAGAGAATCTCTAGCTTTCATTTCAGAATCTCAACTATTGCTCTTTGACTTGTGTAGTCTATATTTAATGAGTCTTGTTCTCTGTTATGCAGTATCTCATCACTCATTTCAGCGAGTTCCAGTTAGCAACTGTCGGCACTTTCTTAATTCATGAAAGTGTCTTTTTCTTATCTGGACTTCCATCTATATACTTTGAGAGGTCAGGGCTTTTCAGCAAATATAAAATTCAGGTTGGTCAGCCTAAAATATAGAGATGTATTTCGTTCTTTTAATTTTTGGCTTTGCTGCCTTCCATTTGTGCAAATTCACATTTATGAATTCATGTTCAGCCTACTTGTGACATCCTCATTTGGCACTGGGCCTTCTTAATTGTCAGCATTGATAAATGTGTATGGTTTTACCAAGCCTTTCTTTTTAAATTACTTGATCATCGTTGCTTCTGTGTGAAGTAGTGATTTAAAAAGCGTTAGGCGCCAAAAGGCGTTAAGGTCCAAAAATGCCCGAGGCGCTAGGCGCTTGCCCGAGCGAAGTGAGACGCTAAAATATAAAAATATATAATATAATTAATAAATATAATTATTTAAATTTTTAAATAAAAATATACTATTAAATTAATCTAATAAATACTATTACTAGTATACAGTATACTGTTAACTATATATTGTCGAAAGAGGAGAAGAGTGTAAGGGAAGAGTCCGAAGACCGAGGGTGTTGACTGAGAAGAGCGGGAGCGGCAACTGCGAGCAACGATAGTAGCAGCGGCAACAGCGACAACGAGAGTGGCAAGCGACAACAGTGGCACCGACAGTAGCGAGTAGCGGGAGCGGGAGCGGAAGCGGTGAGCGGAGATAGTGGCAACGGTAGTAGCGAGCAGCGGCGAGCAGAGACAGTGGCAACGGTAGTAGCGAGCAGAGACAGTGGCAACAGTAGCAGTGAGCAGCGGCAGCGACAGCTAGAGCGACGAGTAGCGACAACAACAGCGGCAGCGACGACAGTAGCGTGAACGACAAGTAGGGTTAGGGTTGGGGAAGCCACGTTGATATCGATGCTTTAGTTGGTTTGATTGAACCAACTAAAGTATCGGAGACCGAACCGGACCTCAATCGCTGGTTCAGTCGCCTGGTTTAACCCAAGCACTCGCCTGAAGCACCCGACGCCTGGGCTCGGGCGAGCGCCCAGGCGATGCCTCTTTGAAGCGCACCGCCTGGAAATGAAGTGAGGCGCTTGGGCCTCGCTTCGCCTCGCCTCGCCTCGCCCGAGCGCCTTTTTAAATCACTGGTATGAAGTATCCTTATTTTAGTGACAATGAAATTTTAGATATAACCAAGGCCTACATTGATGTCCGTGACTAAATAATTATGCTTTATATTCTGGTAGTATCATGTTCTATAAGACTTGTATTTATGCGACTAAAAAGCAACTGTGAGTTATATGCAATTCATGGACTTGTTTCATGGTTCCTCAGATATGCTCTTACCTGAATTGTACCAGTTTTCTTCTGATTTACCAGCACTAAAATATACATGCCATAAATGTAAATGTTCCACATGCTTTGATCTCTCCAAGTTTTGTTGCCATTATAAGATATATTCAAGAAAAGAATATTTTGTTTCTATCAGTTAGCCATTGCCTTTTTGCTTGAACGCCACATCTTGGTGAGCTACTTGCCTTACGTTTTCAGAAAAAGAACAATACTCCAGAAGGGCGAGAGAAATGTATTGTGCGTCTTATCCTGTACCATGTATGTGTCAACTTACCAGTTATGCTCATCTCTTATCCTACATTCAGATTCATGGGGCTGAGAAGCAGTCTTCCGTTGCCTCACTGGTATATTGTTATCTTCTCCTTAAAATGCTTTGGAATAATATTTGAATGTTAAAGCTACAATTGCAACCCAGCTTCACACACTTACATATGTTAGATAGGAGTACAAGTTTAAAAATATTAATTCAAACTAAAAGTTTGACTGATGGAACATGGTCAATATAATATATCTAGCTTTCGTGCTTTCCTGTCTGAAGCTTTTGCTTGTAACTCTTTTTTTTTTTTTCTGTAGGACTGTCATCGTATCTCAAATTATTTTTTACTTCATCTTGGAGGATTTTGTCTTCTACTGGGGACACAGGATTCTGCACACCAAATGGCTATACAAGCATGTTCATAGTGTCCATCATGAGTAAGCATGATGGCTTCTGTAGATATTTGTTTATGATTTCTTTCATTTATCAATGATTTTATTTTTGTAGATATGCTACACCTTTTGGACTAACTTCTGAGTACGCCCATCCTGCTGAAATCCTTTTCCTTGGATTTGCCACAATTATTGGTCCAGCTTTAACTGGTCCTCACCTCTTTACTCTTTGGTTATGGATGATATTGAGAGTCTTGGAGACGGTAGAGGCTCACAGTGGGTACCATTTCCCATGGAGCCCCTCAAACTTTTTGCCTTTATATGGAGGGTGAGTTACATCACGTTATCAGTGTGCTTGCAATAATACCATCTTGTGTCGTGCGATGTTAATTTACTGATTGTTGATTGCTTATTGCAGTTCTGATTTTCATGACTTCCATCACCGTGTGCTTTATACAAAGTCAGGCAATTATGCATCGACTTTCGTTTACATGGACTGGTGAGTGATATCTTCTTTCTATGTACATGTTCATTGCCTCAATTGAAGCAAATTAGGCAGCTCTACAACAACTAAACTTGCCATATCAAAATAATTCATAACAATCATATCATGGGTGAATTAGTAATACGTGGCAGCGCATCAGAGATGTCTTCTTATTAGCCTCTCTTAATTGATAACCATCTGGATTTTTTTTATCTCCACGTTTAAAAGATTTTATCACTTTTGGTCTATTAAACCTGTGGTTACTGTTTTCAGCTGACACAGCATATTTTCAGATTAATGTGGTTATTATTAGTTATGGAATCATCACCCTGATATCTAACATTTCCACGTTATCCGTCAGGTTGTTTGGCACTGATCAAGGTTATCGGAAGCTGAAGGCCCTCGAGGAAGTAGAAGGAAAGAAATACTAAGCACCAAGAAATATCTATTCTGACATCCTAAGCCTATCTGAAGCATCATCTGAAGTTTGGTGTCTCCTCTTCTATGTCTGGATGGCACAGAGATGATCTTCCAATTGTAGTAAGGACTTGTAAACCTCGTGCCTTTTCCACCCCAAAAGGATGAATCCTCTTGTGGGCATCCTCTCTTTGATCACTGAAGTTAGCCGAGTAGAGGTTGGGTTGTGAAACAGCTTCTATTTGAATGGTTATATTCAAAGTACTTGGAAGTGTCATATGAGACATCAGTTTGACATTTGCATTAATCAGGCATGTAACAATGGGTCAAAATTCAGTTTAAGGTATATATTGTTATTTCCTTTTTATCCATCAGTGATCAGAGTCAAATATATTCTAAAATGGTGATGTTTTGAAAGATCTTTTTTGTTAAGTTCTACATGTAGTATGAATCCAATGATGAACACCTAATTCAACTTCAACTTTTTAACTGATCTATTACAGAACATTTGAAACACAGCCAACAATAATTCAACACTAACATAAATTGCATTATTTATGGTTTAATAGAAAGCATTTGGCAAAGTCATCCATTTTGGCCTGACATGAGCCATGTGGTCACAGCGGATAGCAACTTTCGCAGAATCCAATATACAAATCGATTCAATTTGTTCTTGTAGGGTACAATTGAAAAGTACAAGTGGCCAGATTTTAAGGACTGCAAAGAAGAGTCAAGTTTTTTGCATGATGATGAACTCAAATCATGCTCGTTCATCCCCTGTCCCACCATTTTCTTCGTGCCTGCCTTTTCCCCTCATCAAGTACAACATTTTCTTTCAACATGCATTGCATGTACATGAATACTCCACTGCCGGCACACCATTTCAAGGCCTCTCCACATGTATATAGCCCTCTGTGAGCGGTACGATCCTTCGTTCGCAGCTACGTAGCTCTCTGTGGCACGAAATTTGAGGTGGAGCTCTGTCACGGCGAGTGGAGAACAAACGTATATGCCGGTCAACTTCCATAAGAAAGCCATGCAAACAGCGACGCCACGCGTGGCATAGGGGGTACCCAACTCGCCTAACCGCCCTGTTATCGGAGGGACCGATGGAGCAGAACGCGGGTCCCGCATGGGCCCTCACAGCTGTCGTATGTGTACGAATGCTTGGTGTGTGGACGGAGAGCGTGACGAGGCACCGCCGTAGGCCCACCGCTGCCTGAGATAAGAAGACTGTGAGGCGAGTGGGTAACCCGTCGAGGGTGGGTGGGAACGCTGTTGTCGATGTAAGCCTAACAGCAGCGCGGGCAGGTTTTGACCGGCCCGGTCCAAATTGGCAGACCGCGATGAATTGATTAGAAGCTGCTTGGTCCAGCCAAATTGGCCGTCAAATCGCTCGGCCCGGTCGTGGAGAGCAGACTCCTCGAGGGATATATATATATATATATATATATATATATATATATATATATATATATATATATATATATATATAGCGAGGAAGGACACGACAGATGTCTTATCTCCGACGCCATGATTACGGGATGGGCGCGCAACACGTACTGCTCTCCTGGCTTAAGAAACGGTGATTGAGGTTTTTGTCCGACACCACCAGCCGCTGTAGAGGAGGTGGAAGTCTCCCTCTCCCTCTCTCTCTCTCTCTCTCTGACCTTTGGGTACAGGATACTGTGTCGAGACTGGAGACATTGACGTGCTCCCACTCTCCTCCCACTTTCTCATGCGCACGTTATTACCCCACACGAACCCATGGATCACCTCTCTCACCCTCGAACCCGACGGCCAATCCTTCCTCGTCGACTAAGTGATGTCGCAGAGCAACCGGTGAGCCGATATAGCGCAAAGAAGAAGCTAGAGGAAGAAGGAGGGATAACCGTGCTGCACGTCTCTCTTCTTTCTCTAATGGGGCAAGATAACGACAGCTAATCGAGCAGCTACAGCAGCATAAGGAGTCTCTTTCTGGTGAGATGGGTTATCCTGTATTGCAACAGGGCTACTTTAACGTGGGCAAGGAGACCTGAGACCACCACCTGTATCTGAAGCCTGTCGAGCCGCCCTTCTTGAACCTGTGGATCATCTGGCTCCTCTTTGGGAACCTTCATTACCGCAACTGGTTTAGTTCTTTATGTTGTAGGTGGCGATCTTGCAGTTGTTTGTGAGGAGTTTCTACGTTCTTATTCTTGGTCGCCGTCATGTCACCAGATCCGATTGAAGCAACCAAACGAGGAAGGATGGAAGCAAAGAGAACAAAGCGCTGATTGATCTGCATGATTATTATAAGGAGAGATCTGTAAAGGGTGGGTGTAATGATGGAGGAATCTTTATGATGTGAATAACCACCCGAGTTCGTCTCTACACACTCTCCTTCTTCTTCTTGTGATGCAGACTGCACTTGGCGGAAGAGCTGGCGAACCGTTGGTGGACCGGAGCTGTGGAGATGGGCAGGGTCGACCCTGGGGTCACGTCCGCGACCTCGGTCCCTCCCGTCCATCTCCGCAACCTCAACCGCGCCGACGACCTCCCCAGTCACCACTTCAACAGAAGAGACCGAGAGGCCGGCGCCGCAGCCACGACTACCACCGTCAGCAGCGGCAGCAACAACCACCCCAACGACGACGAAGGCAATGCCGACGACTCCGCCGGTGGCCTCGAGATGGTCGAGGCCGGATCTGCCGGCGCGCCGACGAGTACCGCCTGTCGCCGCCCCCGTGGCCGTCCGCCTGGGTCCAAGAACAAACCGAAGCCACCCGTGATCATCACGCGGGAGAACCCCAACGCGCTCCGCTCGCACGTCCTCGAGATCTCGAGCGGGGCCGACGTCATGGACGCCATGGCCACCTTCGCCCGCCGGAGGCAGCGTGGCGTGTTCATCCTGAGCGGCAGCGGGGTCGTCACCGACGTCACGCTCCGCCAGCCCGGGGCGCCGCCGGGGGTCATCACCCTCCCCGGCCGCTTCGACATCCTCTCTCTTTCCGGGGCGTTCCTTCCGGCGCCGTCGCCACCAGGGGCCACGGGCCTAACAGTCTACCTATCCGGCGGCCAAGGGCAGGTGGTGGGCGGCAATGTCATCGGCGAATTAATCGCGTCAGGGCCGGTGATGGTGATCGCAGCCACCTTCTCGAACGCAACATATGAGAGGTTACCGCTCGACGACGAAGAGCCAGCGGCGGCAGGCGCTATGCCTGGCACAGAGGGAATTCAGCTTCAGCAGAGCCCGGGAGTAAGTGAAGGCGGCGGTCGGCCGTTCTCGCGGCAGCCACATGCAGGGTTGGATCCGTCGTCGATGCCGCTGTACAATCTGCCGCCGGATCTTCCACCAAATGGCCAGACGCCCCACGAGGTTTTCGGCGCCTGGGCCTCTGCTGCAGCTCCTCGGCCGCCATCATCCTACTAAGTCTCCTCCCTTCTACTTCTGCTCCTGCCGTTTCGTGCGACGGTGATGTGCTCGTTCATCATCCTCATGTTCTCCTTCCTCTGTAAACATATTTAGTAGTTGCAGGTCGATCGATTTCTTTTCTTTGTCAGTACAAATCACTGCCAAACACAGACTAAAATGTGGAAATCATAGGTCCAGCAGATTGCTTCGGTCTCAGGTTTCGGGAGAAGTCAGTGGGTATGGAAATCATAGTCATTCATGATGACTATGGGCCATGGCGAAACCAAACCAGTACCATTTAGTCCCTCCCATCTCTTTCTGCCCATCTGTCATGGAAGATGCTATTTGTCTTCCATGAGCTGACTCCTTGAATTCAAGGAAAGTTTCAGATGGCCTGTTAAATGCATGATATCCATCCAACTCGTTGCAGTCATTCATGATGGTCGCTGCTGGACACAGGGTCCCAACCTGAGGCCCGCAGGGCCGGCCTCTCTCTGTAGGAGGCCCACAAATCCGGCCCGTGGAGCACTACTTAGTATCTTTATCTCCTTGTGGCAATCAGAGACGGTCTTTTTGCTCCACAACTCGACAACCTTATCATTAAAGCTAATCAACATCACGTGGTCTTCATTTATTAAAGCACACATCTTCATCAAGTCAACGTCAGGAAATATATCCCTCTTGTGTTTGAGCTTCATTCTTCTTATTTCTTTCAGTCATATATAGACTCCTCAACCATGGTCTTTTCCAATGCCCTCGCCTCCATGGACTTACGCAGAGGACACAGCTATTGTGGTCGTTGGCAGTTGGAATGACGTCTCCTCGTTACCGTGCTCACCCGGACATCGTGTCTCACGCACATCGACACAGCTCACCTCCCGGGTGAAAAGCGCCCACGCGTACCCACCAAACACCCACTGTGGGTCCCACGCAACAAACGCAGGGACCCATCTACGGACTCCACAATAAATACTGTCTCCACAATGAATGCGAGTCCGGAGCAGGTCAACGTCGGTGACTCTCGTCGACCTCACATGTTAAAGACGGGCCGCCATGTCTACCGCGCGACTTCATGTCGCTTTCTGCGGTAAAGATCTCTGCAAGTTGGGGAGTTAAAAACGTCGCTTTGCAGTTACTTTCCATGACCATAACCTGTACATACAGGATACGACGAGAGGAGAGGACACAAGGCGAGTAACTTGGTCTTCACTCTGCTCCTGTTGCAGGTCCGACACCAGCCATGCTTCTTCCCGGGATCCTCACTGTTATCCTTCTCGCCGAGCTCGCGGCGTCCTCCGATGGTAACTTCACCTTCAACGGATTCAGCGGCGCGAACCTGACCCTCAACGGCTTCGCGGCGATCACCTCCGAAGGCCTCCTGTGTCTGACGAACGACACGCAGCAAGTGATCGGCCACGCTTTCTACCCCTTCCGACTCCGCTTCGGTAAGCCTCCGTCCTTCTCGAGCACCTTCGTGTTCGCCATCAAACCCACTTTCCCCCACACGAGCGGCCATGGAATTGCTTTTGCCCTCTCCCCCTCGAAGGAGCTCCGTGGGTCTCTGCCCAGCCAACATCTCGGCCTCTTCGCGGACACCGGCAGCGCCAGAGACCATATCGTCGCTGTGGAGCTCGACACGGTCGAGAACGTGGAGTTTAAGGACATCAACAACAACCATGTCGGGATCGATGTTAACAGCTTGGTATCGGTGAACTCGACGCCGGCGGCTTACTATGACACCAAGGAAGGCGTGGTCAAGGGGCTCCAGCTGATCAGTGGAGAGCCGATGCAGGTTTGGGTTGATTTCAGTGGCGAGGACATGCGATTCGATGTTGCAGTGGCTCCTCTCCGTGAATCCAAACCCAAGGCTCCACTTGTGTCCTCGAGGTTTAATCTCTCGTCGGTCATCTCGGATACGATGTACGTGGGCTTCTCTGCCTCCACCGGTGCGGCTACCGGATCCCATTACATTCTGGGATGGAGCTTTAGCCTCGACGGAGACGCTTCACCACTTGATCTCTCTGCTCTTCCTCGACTCCCTGGTTCGCCAAAGAAGAAATCGGTAGTCTTGGTCATTTCGTTGCCTGTAGCCGCAGTGCTTCTGCTGGTAGTCGCCATGGTCATCGTCGTCTTGTACCTCAGGAGAAGGAAGAAATTTGCAGAGGTCCTCGAGGATTGGGAGCATGAATTCGGACCTCATAGGTTTCACTACAAGGATCTGTACCGAGCGACCAAAGGGTTCGACGACGAGAACCTGCTTGGCGCGGGAGGCTTCGGTCGGGTTTACCGCGGCGTGCTGTCGAAATCCAAGATCGAGATTGCTGTCAAGAAGATCTCCCATGAGTCGAAGCAGGGAATGCGGGAGTTCATCTCGGAGATCGTGAGCGTGGGCCGGCTACGGCACCGGAACCTTGTGCAGCTGCTGGGATACTGCCGGCGCCACGGCGAGCTGCTCCTGGTGTACGATTACATGGCAAACGGCAGCCTGGATCGGTTCCTCTTCGACGGGAATCAGGCACCGCTGAATTGGTCTCAGAGGTTTCACATCATCAAAGGAGTGGCGGCAGGGCTCCTATACCTGCACGAAGGATGGGAGCAAGTAGTGATTCATCGAGACATCAAGGCCGGCAACATTCTCCTCGACAGCGAGCTCAACGGGAAGTTGGGAGACTTCGGGCTAGCGAGACTGTACGATCACGGGACGAATTCGCAGACCACCCACATCGTCGGCACATTGGGTTATCTTGCTCCGGAGCTCAGCAGGACGGGGAAGGCCACCACACACACCGACGTGTACGCCTTCGGCGCCTTCCTGCTGGAGGTCGCCTGCGGGAAAAGGCCGCTGCAGCTGGACGCGCCAGGGCTGGTGGATTTCGTGCTCGAGTGCTGGAAGATGAGTACGATACTGGAGGCGAGAGACCCGAAGATGGGGGACGACTACGCGGCGAAGGAGATGGAGCTGGTGCTGCAGCTTGGGCTGCTCTGCTCACACCCAGACCCCATGTTCAGGCCGAGCATGAAGCAGGTGGTGCAGATCTTGGAAGGCGACGCTCCCTTGACTGTGTCACCGGACGGCATGATCAGCTGCCTCTCCGCGCGACAGTACGATGAATCGTTCGATCATCTCGTCTTGTCGTATCCGTCGAGTTCGGCTGCTACGCATGTGTTACACTCATCGCCGTTGTTCTCTGCTACTCGCTGATGGTTCATTATGGTTCTTGCTGATGAAGCCTTGTAGATTTGGTGTTTAGATGTCCTTTTAGAATTGGATGGAAGAGGATGTTCATCTTTTGTTTCGACTTGCTGCAGTGGATTGCCGTAGACACAGAAGCACAGTGGAATCTGTTTCCTTCATAGTTCATAGCTTCCAATTCTGATCTAGGAGTTTGCTGGTGCCACTCTCTCTCTCTCTCTCTCTCTCTCTCTCTCTCTCTCTCTCCATGTGATGGTATTTCTGGACAACTGGCTTTCCTTTGTTTCCTACCATTCTCTTGTGTTGGACAGACAATGAGCTGGAATTATCATACCTGCAGTTTATTTTATCCCCCATGGAATGATAGATCTGGTTGTGTCTTATGAGACAACTTTCTTGGCTCTATGATGTTGAAATTGATATTTGGAGCTCATGTATTAACAATGGCATCTCAGATTTTACCATATCATTTCAATCAAGCCCAAAGAGATCTCAATTTTCATGAGGATCATAATTGACAAGTCCTGCAGAATCTAAAGAACCTTTCAAAGGGTAGCAGCTCATGCTGTTGTTTTTCTGATATGATAACTGTGTCATTGATTACAGAGAGTGTCAAAGTTTACAGGAGAGGAGAAAGAGGATGAATCGATTGCATTTGAAAATTGTACATCATCACATACAATCCCATAATCAAATAAAAGAAGAAACAGAAGTAAAGAGAGAAACATCGAGCAGACTTTTCTTCCTTTGTGGGGCAGTATTCTTATTTCCAACCCAGCAGCTTGCACATACCTAAATAGATCAAGAGGGACTCAGAACTAGCATCGGTTAGCTATACAGTTTCAGTTTCATCCCCGTGCCGGTACAAGGGATTCACCTCTCTGCAGAAGAAAACAGCATTGCAAACTTGTTTTGATAGGTCGAAATGAAAAGAAAAATGTGAAATTTTGAGAAGCTCCTGCATGTCTAAAAAGAATCACCTATGTCCTGTGCATGTCTAATATTTGTGTTGAGAAGGCATAGCTTTCGTGAAAGCAAAACCTTTCGAGGATCTGTAGGAAGCCATCCCAGTTACAGTATGAAATATATGAATTGAAAGAAACAATAAAGGAAATCGATGCACTAACCTCCAGCTACAATGAGTTCTCCACATGGGGAACTACATGCTTCCTGCAAATATATTTTTTAAGGGTATTCAAGTGGATCTTTATTTGCAAGCCGATCAGCTCTCGTTGCTGATCATCCTGAGTCTCTAATACTTTCTGTGCAATGTAGTTAGCAAACTGGTCTTTCATCATAGACCACCGCCACCCATGAAGAGAAATAAAGGACAAAGAATGCAAGTCAATTAGACTGTCTTGTAGCTACTCAACTCAATTATCGACCAAAAAACGAAGTACCAAGAAAGAGATACTGCCCTCGGAATGTCTAACAATGAATTCAGGTTTTGAAGATCATTCAGATTCAAACTTGGAGCTTTCTACTAATGATGCACTTATATGTCAAGTGTTAGAGGAATATGTTATATCCTCTACAAACAGAAGATATCAGACATAGGTACAACAAGTAACAATATCCAGCATGTTCGGAGCACAAATATGGCAAACATATTAAAGTATCCATATTCCATAGATATAAAGGTTTTTCAGCCCAAAATACAAATTTGCATCCGACAGCTTTCTGAGAAGTTTATCAAAAGGTCTCTTGTGATAATAAAGGTATTTCAGTCCAAAATACAAATTTGCATCCGACAGCTTTCTGAGAAGTTTATCAAAAGGTCTCTTGGTTTATCACATGTATTTGGTTCATGGGGTTTGATGCAGGGCAGCCGTGCAGCAGATATCAGAAGAAACATAATGTGAATGGAAGAATGATGGTCTTTTATATGGACAAAAAAATTCAAGGATTACAGAAACATTTCCAGTGGCATGCAATTTGAATTTTTCTTATTGGCATAGGCTACCGATAAGAACAATATGTTTACCTTGTTGATTTCTGACAGGAACAATATGGAACCTACAAAGCATCCATGAGCTGTCATAGACCGCATCCATGTGTCACAGTCACCATCATTTATGTGTCTGCACATCATTTATATAAACATGGGTTAAGGATGTCATCTTTCAGACTCTCTGCTCTCTCATCTAACTTATATTACCATCTTCATAAATTGCCTTAGCTTGTGGTCCTTGGTAATGATCCAGACAGGCTCTGAATGCTAGATCAAATCCTCCATGTTTTGCAGCAACAATTTTCATATCATTTTTCAAGCACATGACTAGATAAAAATATGCTCACTTACCAGGCATTGACAATCTCTTTCAATACATGAGATTTGCTGTTCACTAATTGGACTAATTATCAAAGAAGCAACTTGTCATCTAGAATCAAGTTTCAAGCCAAGCATCATTTTCGAATTCTAGCAAGATGCTTAAGGTGACATTTTCCATGTTTCATATAACTATACCCCAAAAATATCGCCAAAAATCGAGTAGCATGCAACTCGAAACATTTTCGTAGAAACAAATATAAAAACCGCATCCTTCATTCTTTTAGATTTTGTGCATGGGTGCTAATTTTCGGTTTGATCTGACCAACCAACCTTGTCCAACCACAAAAAAGAGTTCGACACATTTGACTGAACTGCGTCTAACATTAGATTTATATTTACAAATTTCAATCAGACACGGGTTCGCGTGTTCGAACACCCCTATGAGATAGGTAGTTCTAAACTATTCTTTTTATGAGAACCTGGACTGGCTTGACATGTTTTATAACTTTGATTAAGATATCTGGTCAAAATTGACAGGGATTTAATCGATCAAAAACACAGATCTATGCAAGTTGTCTCAACACGACATATCTGGATATTGATCGAGGTAGGTCATGAAGGGAAACCAAGTTCAGGTTCGAACAAGCTATAATGTAGATACCTGAGCTAGATCTAGCACTTCACATTACATCTTAATTCTGTTTGACACCGGACTAATCTTTTGCCACAGCTACTTGTAAATCTCCAACTTAATTAGTCATGCAGATAGGACGATGCCGAATCGAATAACAAACGATACCAAAGCCACACTCCAGAATAATTTGCACACTTCATCTGAGGATCTCTGTCTGTTCAAGAAAGGAGAACTTTACAAAGAGATAGGACAGCAAGTTGAGCTATCACTGTGCAATTATAGCATAAGTAGAACATTTAGGCTAAAGTATCATCTGTAAACTAAATGCATATTACAAACAGGTTATTGCTTTGGATTGAGGATTACCTGAACAATGTCAACAAAGCTCCTCTTCCTCCTCGCAGTTGGTTTTCTTTGAATCCTCGATCCCTGCCCATAACGGAGATCCCCACCTGAAGCCTCTGCGCGGATCTCCAGTCCTCCTTGGAGAGCACCGGTGGCGGCAGCCGAGAGTTGAGATTCACGTGCTAGTGGTGGTAGGAGACACATGCCGGATTGGATAGGAGTTCCTGCCCTGTTGAAAACCCATTTCCGTTCTTTACCGCCGGAAAATCTGAAATGCCGGACGCGACCTGGCGCCCAGATATCCCTCCCATGGCGGTGAGAGAGCCCTCGACCGTGGGTGGAGCGGAGCCATTGCAGAAAATACTGAGCTCCCTCTCTCGATCCCTCCCCTTTTGCCTCCTGCTGCTCCCTAAGGAGAAAGCCCAAATCTCTCCACCAAAACCATCTCCGCCGCTGCCGATCATCGGTGGGCTCCCAGTGACCATTCCAAGAACAGAAAAGGAAGATAAAACATGAAAAGGAAGAGCAAGAAAGCGCAACTTTGGCAGCTCCGAACCTCAAGAACTACAAAATAGCGAGGTTTCCGCCAAAAAGATCGAATCTTTCAACATTAAAAGGGAGAGCAGTCACATCATTCCCCGACCGAGGACCCAAAATTCCTAGCTCGAACGCAGAAAACACGAACACATTTTCTCCGCTAATCCGAGAAATGATAGCAAAAATATGCGATCATTGCAGCTCCGCCGATCCTTCCTTCATTTCTCGTCGGGAAACCCGTTCTCGTGACTCCGACCCGCCACCGGTAACTGCAATGGACAGAGCAGGGGGATGAATTAGAACAAGAGAAATGATATGGACTGTCGGATGAGCACACGGACGGCGTAGATCGTTCGATGCTCCTTGAGCCCTCGGTGGTTTTATTACATAGCATTAAATAATTTAAGGAGGATCGGAATATTCTCTCGCATCTATTAATATCTTAAACATTAGTATATCAGATCCATTAATTTGATGATGATGATTGATGAGGATAATAATGACGACATGACGGGCCGCGACGTCAGCCGCGCGTGGACGACACCCTGCCCGAAGGAGGGCAATAATGCCGACGCGATTGTATGCTAACGTCACCCGCTCTCAGACCATGACTTCGCCGTTGTCTGACCCCGCGCGCTTGGCCGAGGCAGAAGAGGACGACAACCGAGGCTCGCCCATACCCTGCGGCAGTGCGGTTCTCTACGCAACGCCGACAGCAATGTCAGACGCCATCAGAGGTACGACCCTGCTCCTGCAAGTAGGCACATCAAATAACACTAAACTTACCTATAAATACCCCCGAGTTCTAACGCCAAGGGGGAGACACTTCTTCACACAAAAAATCCCCTCCGCGTCTACTGACTTAATCGTCGGAGGGGTCGGGCCGAGCTTTCGACCCGACCTATGTGCAGGTACGAGAACGTGGCCGTCCCTTCCCGGTGCCGCGGCAAAAGCTTCCCACCCGATGCGACACCCCGACCGGACCGCCGCAATCGGCCACCGAGAGATCTCGAGGGACGCTGCACGAGATCCCCGCCATTCGGACCCCCAACCAAGCCGCGTCGGCCCCAAGGCCACGGCATAAAGTTGTTTACACCAACAGATTGGCGCTAGAAGGAGGGTCGTCCGAATGTCGAACGATCAGCAGACCCACTCTGGCGAACCCGCATCTGTCGGATTGCGCCCAATCAACACCCCAAAGGAACACCCCCCACGTGATGAACCCCAAGACGAGCGTCCCGCCACGACATCGGAGCGCTACTGGCGGGTATTCAACGACCCGGGTTTGTCGCCACCCGACAGCGCCCCCGCTGGCCCGCCGCCCGTATCGCTCGAAGCCTTTCACGACCTCGCTCATCAAGTCCGAGCTTTGACGGGCGTGGTCCAAACTATCATCCCGCTCGTCTCCCATCCGACGCCCCCACATGTGACCCAGCCTTTGCAACAGCGGGAGGCCCCCGCCCAGGTTCCCGCGCCACTTCCCGAGCTACCCACTTCGCCCCGAAACCAGTCAGCCCGAATCGGGAACCAAGGAACGACGGAATCGACGACTCACCCGGTGCCCGAGGTTCTGTCTGTGGATTCAACAGATGCCCTGCGAGTCCAGTTGCGCCTTGTTAGCCAACGACTCGACGAAGTACAGCAGGAGGTTTGCAGGACAAAGGGAGAGCTCGGGGCGAACGGACACCAAGGGTCCCCGTTCGTGCCCGAAATACAAGATCAAGTGATCCCACCGCACTTCCGGCTCCCTTCGTCGGACGCCTATGACGGCGCCACTGACCCAGCGGACCATGTAGCCGCTTTTCGCGCTCAGATGGCGCTATATGTGACTTCTGACGCCTTGATGTGCAGGGCGTTCCCGACGACTTTGAGGGGACCGGCCCGCGCATGGTATAGCAGCCTAAAGACTAGGACCATCACCTTCTTTGACCAGCTCGCCAAGGACTTTGAGCTCAACTTCCTGGCCTACGCCCGACCAAAGCCGTCCGTGGCGTTGCCCCTCGGACTCAACCAAAGGGAGGACGAGCCTCTCTCGCATTTTGTGAACCGCTTTACAATGCAAATTCGGGGATTGTCAGACGCTCACCCCTCTCTGTTAATGCAGGCATTCATGATAGGCCTGCAGCCTTCCAGGTTCTTTTGGTCTCTTGTGGAGAGACCCCCCACCGCAGTACCCGAGATGCTTCAGCGGGCAAGCCAGTTCGTCGCCGCCGAAACATGGATGGCCGGGAGGCGCGAAGAGCACAAGAGGGTCAAGTCGGAGCCACCCCGACAGCAACAATCCGCCGCATCCCGACGTAGGTTGGACAAATCCGACCCGCCGACGTCAAGGCCCCCTCTCCCCGCCTTGAGCTCGTCCTGAACAGAAACATTTCTCCACATAAGGGAGAAGGGACTACTTAAAGATCCTCACCCAATGAGGAGCCCGCGAGAGCTTCCAGACCGATCAAAATATTGCCGCTTCCATCAGCAACATGGGCATGACACTGAACAATGTCGTGAGTTGAAAAGGCAGATCGAGGAGCTCATTTGTAGAGGGCATCTCGGACAATACCTTTGGCCGGACAAGGAACGTTCGCCATGCCCGGAAGGTCCCATCGAACAACACATAGACGTGATAGCGGGCGGCCACGCATCTGGCAGGGGCTCCATGACAGGAAGAAAGGCATACGCCCGAGCCGCCTCGGCCGAAGCCCCCAAGCACGGGCCTGAGCCCGAGGTCACTTTTTTGGCCGGAGCATCCGAACAACCCGAGCACGACGATGCCCTCGTGATATCGGCCAGGGTCGCCAACGCGCAAGTAAGAAGGATCATGGTCGATACCGGGAGTTCGGCCGATATACTTTACCTCGACACCTTCCGGAAGCTCGGCTTGGCTAGGGAGAATATGAAGCCGATGTGTTCGGCGCTCACTGGATTCACCGGAGATTCAATCTCACCGCTGGGGGCTATCACTCTACCCTTAACCTTAGGGGCCCCGCCAAGGTCGAAGACGATGATGACCACCTTTCTAGTGGTCGACCTCCCCACTGCGTACAACGCTATCCTCGGTCGCACGACCCTCAACAAAGTCAGAGCCGTCGTCTCAACTTACTACCAAACTGTAAAGTTTCCGACTCACGCCGGGGTCGGGGAAGTCACGGGAAGCCCCCAAGAAAGCAAGAATTGATCCACCGTTGGAGAATCCTTGGGAGACGAAGAAACCAACCCCCCCATCCCGAGCCGAGGGGATCCACCGTCGACCTACCGTTGCTAGAAGGTCGGCCAGATCAGACAGTAAAAATCGGGTCGGAGCTACCCGAGCAGGAACGAAGGCAGCTCGTCGGCTTCCTATAGGAAAATGCCGACGTCTTCGCCTGGTCGCCATCTGACATGACAGGCGTCGACCCGGAGGTCGCACAACATCACCTCAATATTTCACCCGACGCTCGCCCTGTAAAGCAAAAACCCAGATGGCAAGCCCCTGATCGACAACTCGCCGTACGAGAAGAAGTGGGTCGACTCCTAGCGGCAGGCTTCATAGAAGAAGTCAGATACCCACGATGGCTATCCAATGTAGTCCTCGTAAAGAAACCCAATGGAAGCTGGAGGATGTGCGTTGATTACACCAGTCTCAACAATGCATGCCCAAAGGATTGTTACCCCCTCCCAAAGGTCGACCAATTGGTCGACGCGACGGCCGGACACGCCCGCCTCTCATTTATGAACGCCTTCTCGGGATAGAACCAGATCAGAATGGCGCCCGAAGACCAAGAGCATACGACCTTTCTCACCGATTAAGGGGTATACTTTTATAAGGTCATGCCTTTCGGATTGAAAAACGCTGGGGCTACGTACCAGAGAACAGTGAACAAGATGTTCGCCCGCCAGATTGGGCGAAACATGGAAGTTTACGTGGATGACATGATTGTAAAAAGCCAAAAGGTAGGAGCTCACCTTGCCGACCTGGCCGAGGCATTCGCCACGCTGTGTAAGTTCGACATGCGACTCAACCCCGCGAAGTGCGCTTTCGGCGTCACCTCGGGAAAGTTCCTCGGGTTCATCATACACGAAAGGGGGATCGATGCCAACCCAGAGAAGGTCCAGGCAATTAACAACATGCAATCGCCTCGGACGATCAAAGACCTGCAGCACCTTAATGGGAGACTCATCGCCATGTCGCGTTTCTTTGCCCGATCGGGCGATCGATGCCTCCCCTTTTTCAGGGCGCTGAAGAACCCGAAGAATTTTTAATGGACGACTGAATGCGAGGAAGCCTTCAAACAAATAAAGCAACACCTGGCCAGCCTCTCCCGGCTTGCCTCAGTCTCTCCCAGGGAGAAGCTCGGCCTCTACCTGGCTGCCTCCCAGCACGCAGTCAGTTCCGTCCTGATCAAAGAAAACTCCGGCGAACAGCTACCGGTCTACTACGTCAGACATGTCCTAACCGAGCCCAAAGAGCGATACTCGCTGATTGAAAAGCTCGCACTCACGCTTGTGCTGTCAGCCCGGAAGTTACGCCCCTATTTCTAGGCTCACCCGGTGGAGGTCATCACCGACCAACCATTTCGGCAGGTCTTGTCTAAATTTGATGTTGCAGGGCGGCTTCTCAAATGGGCGGTGGAGCTCGACGAGCATGACATACGATACGTGCCCAGAACCGCCATCAAAGCACAGTCCGTGGCCGACTTCATCGCAGAGCTAACCCAGATCGCGGACGTAGATCCCGAGCGACCCCCTGAAGCATGGGTCCTACACGTGGACGGATCGGCCAACTCAAAAGGCTCCGGTGCAGGGTTGGTGCTACTAGCTCCTGACGGACGCTCGTTCGAGCATTCCCTCCGTTTCGGGTTCCAAGCCACTAATAACAAGGCGGAATACGAGGCACTCCTAGTAGGACTCAGGTTGGCCCTTGAAATGCAAGTGGCTGCCACACACGTCCTCACCGACTCGCAGCTGGTAGCCGAACAACTCAGTGGCGGATACGAGGCGCGGGATCCAACCATGGCAAAATACCTAGCGCAGGTAAAGAACCTGACCATCAAGTTCCCTCATTTTACATTATCTAATGTCCCAAGGGGAGAGAATGAGCGAGCTGACGCGCTAGCTAAGCTGGCGTCGAATCCGGCCCCCGAATCACGTGGGTACAAGAAATGCTACGCTTCAAGCGGGACGAGACTCTTTCCCCTGACGAAGCTACGGCTCGGCGCCTGCGCCGTACGCATGCGTGGTACTCTGAGGTGGGCGGATGACTCTATAAGCGGTCCTTCACATACCCCCTCCTACGATGCTAGGAACCCGACGAATCTCGGACGGTGCTGGCCGAGGTCTACGAAGGAGTATGCGGTGAGCACATCGGTGGCCGAACCCTGGCGCACATGATACTTCGCCAAGGGTACTACTGGCCGACCATGTGCCGAGATGTGAAGGCTTACGTACAGCGGTGCAGTTCATGCCAGGAGCACGCCCGCACCCCCCGGCAGCCTGCGGTCCCGCTTACCCCCATCGATTGCGCGTGGCCATTCGCGCAGTGGGGTCTGGACCTGCTCGGACCTTTCCCGCCAGCCTCGGGACAGCGGAGATACATCGTCGTAGGGGTAGACTACTTCACCAAATGGGTTGAGGCCGAACCACTGGTGACGATCACGGAGCAACAAATAGAGAAGTTCGTGTGGAGGAACCTGGTGACTCGGTTCGGCGTGCCCAGAGCTATCATCACAGACAACGGGCCTCAGTTTGCTAGCAGGAGGTTCCAGGAGTTCTGCGCAGGCCATGAGATCCAGCTAAGGTTCAGCTCGGTAGCTTACCCCCAGGCGAACGGGCTAGCGGAGGTAACCAACCGCTTCAGGACGGGCTCAAAAGAAGGGTGTCCGCAGCCCGCTCGGGGTGGACGGATGAACTCCCGAGCGTCTTGTGGTCCTTACGCACCACCCCCAAAGCCGCAACCGGAGAATCTCCCTACAGCCTCGCGTTCGGGACCGAAGCTATCCTGCCCCCCAAGATAGTTATTCCCACCCTTCGGACAGGAAACTATGACGAGGGAACCGCAAGAGAAGGGCTTCGAGCCGGCCTTGACATGCTCGAAGAGCGGCGCGCCAACGCACACCTGAAGACCCTCTCCTACAAGAGAGCTGTCGCAAGGGTCTACAATCGAAAGGTACGGCCCCGACCAATTAAGTTGGATGACCTGGTCCTACGCAAAACCGAGGTAAGCGACCCGACCCGAGCGAGGGGGAAGCTGGCCTCCAAATGGGAAGGACTTTATCGTGTCGTCGAGATAGTCCGGCCAGGCACATACCGGCTCATGACAATAGACGACTACTCCGTGCCAAGGACATGGAACGTCTAGAATCTTAAAAAGTTTTTCGTATGAGAAAGCGAAAGACGAGAAGTACGCAAGAGAAAGGATTTTTCATTAAGGAAAACTAGGGCAATTACAGGACCCGACCCCGACTTACAGGACTTGACCCCGACTTACAGGACTCGACCCCCGACCCACAGACCGACCAGCACCTCGGAGAAAAAACACTCCTGTCATTCCTGCGGGGGGTCCGGCCGGTTGTTGAAAGGAACGTCCTCGGGCATATCCACCTCAAGATCCTCGGGATGGGAGGTAAAGGGATCCTCATCCACCTCGAGGCCTGGGTGGCGTGAATGGAAGCGGGCCGTAGCGATCCGATATCCATATTCAAAAGAAACCCGCCCCGTACGCGTCAGCCCGAGTTTGAACCCCTCAGACTTCTTGTAAGTCGCGATCAATTCTTTGTCCTTCTCGGGTCGGAGACGAACCTTCTCGGCAAGCGCCTCAGAAGCCGCCCTCGCCTCCGCCTTCGCCTCCTCTAGTTTTTTGCTGAGGGTGCCCGCCTCCGTCTTCAACAAACGAAGCTCGGTCCGCTCTAGCCTTATGGTTTTTTGGAGGTCGTTATTCATGCTCTTGGACGCCTCGAGCTCCGACTTGAGGCGAGCCGCCTCCGCCTCCGCCTCCGCTTCTGCCGCGCGCTTCCCAATAGCCGCCACGGCCTCCGGCCTCCGGCCCAGCTCCGGCTCGTGCCTCCTCAACCTAACGGCGGAGCTCGGCATTGCGCCTGATAAGGTCCCCGATGACCCGGCCGACGTCGCGCACCCTGTCCATCAGGGCCGTCGCGTAATGGAGACCCTGTAAGAAAAAAGCCGGATCAGGAATAACAGCGTTTGGGGAGCAGCCCCGAGGTGGGAGGAGAAGCACTTACCCAGACCAAGGACTTGGCGGACTTATCGATGAGAGCCCCCGAGGGATGAGTGTACAAATCCTGAGCCATATCGGGATGTAGCGCCCCTCGGAGAAACACCGCGGAGGAGTCCCCTCCGGCCCACACCTTGTCCCCCCGGGACAGACCTCCCCAGCGGGCAACCATGGGATTGCTTGCCTCCCCGGTCGGGATCTCACCCGTCACCCGCGCCAGGAACGACTCCTCGTCCCTGGTGGTTAGTCGGCACAGGTCGCGCACGCTAGGAGGGCGAGGGCCCTTCCCAGCCACATGTTGGCTAGACCCGGCCTCGCCTCGATAGGGACCCGCTTCAGTCCCCGTGGGAGCCGCTGCCTTCGCCTTCTTCCGAGGGCGCTCGGCCTTGACCTCCAGCGGGGCGCCCTCCGAGCCGGGCAGCGGGTCGACCGGCGTCGCTAAAGGCAGAGTCGATGGCGCCTAACCGCCTAGGAGTGATCGGAAATTCACCATCTCTGCAGGAAACAGGAAAAGCGTGTCAGCACCAAGATTAAGCCCTGGCATGTCCGAACTGAACACTACTAACGTACCCCGAGGCATCGGACTAAGGCCCGCCTCGACCAGCCACTGCTCGGTCATGCTCCGGAGGACCTGGGAGCTGGGGAGAACCTCTTTGAGCCTCCCCAGATCTCGGCGCTCCGCCTCGCTCAGGGTCGGAACGATATTATCGATCGCCTTTGCGGACCACCGAACTCCGAAGCCCCAATCCCTTGCCCGACTAACATAAAAAAATCTCTCCTTCCACCCTTTGTTGTTAGAAGGGGCCCCCCCAACTCGGAACCCCGCCCGGGCGGATAGAAAGTATCCCCCAGGCCCTTTGGAGAGGCGATAACAAGAACGAAACAGGTTGACGGTGGGGGTGATTTTGGCGTAGTGGCATTCCCCCAGGAATACCACCAGGTAACGCCAGGAGTTTGGCGCCACTTGGGATGGCGAAATTCGCCAGAAGGAAATACAAGACACGATGAGAGGGTGAAGGGGAAAGCGCAGACCCGCCTCTAGGGCGCCTAGGGTCAACGCGAAACCCTGCGGAACTGGGTCATACGCCCGTTGTCCCGGTTCAGGGGCACTAAGGATGTAGTCCTCCGGGATACTATAGCGCTCCCGGAGTCCCCCCAGCAGTGACCCACTCACGGTGGAGTCATGGTCGTGCGGCCACATCAAGGCCTCCAGGGCCCGCGCCGCCTCCCCGTCAGAGGATTCCACGGGAGACGTCGGAGGACGTCCCCCCTCAGCTACACAGGAAGGGGAAGAAGGAGAGGGAGAAGAAGACGACATCTCAACTGACCTTAATGGGGAGGAGCTACGAGGAAAGGGAGGACGACCCAGGAAGCGGGGAAGAAAACGGGAAAGGGGACGGCAAGACCTGAAGAAGGAGACTCAGCGGCAAAAGATAAAATCGAAGTCGGGCATTCGCTATTTAAAGGAGATATCCCGCCAGAACCAGCGCCCCTTTGCCTCCCGAGAATGGGCGGCAGCCCACTCGCGCACGTGCGTAACCGTTACGTCGCGTCAGAAATGCCAAAAGACGCTCCGCCTTAATGAAAGCCTGACTGACGTGGCAACCACGCTGAAGCGATAGCGGCCTGACGCCTCGATCTCAACGCCCGAAAGCGTGCGACAAAAGCAACCAGCTCCCCCTCAGAAAAGAAGTCAAATACGGTAGTTTTCGACCCCCACTACTACTAAGTAAGCAAGAAGGGAAAATAGCATAAGCAACTTCTCGGGCCAGCCCGCTTGCGTCGTGCTCCTCGGCTGCATGCCGCCTGAGACCACTTCCTCGGCACGGCCTGCCCGTCCGAGATGTGCTCCTCGGCCTCATGCTGCCCGAGACCACACCTGCGTGGCCAGCCCGCCTGCGTCGTGCTCCTCGGCTGCGTGTGCCCGAGACCACCTCCTCAGCACGACCTGCCCGTCCGAGACGTGCTCCTCGGCCTCATGTTGCCCGAGACCACACCTGCGCGGCCAGCTCGCCTGCGTCGTGCTCCTCGGCTGCGTGATACCCAAAACCACCTCCTCGGCTCGGCCTGCCCATGCGAGACGTGCACCTCGACCCCACGTCGCCCAGGACACACTCGACCTCACGCCGCCCGAAGCTACGGCGGTACTAGAGGCCAAAGCCATGCCTCGAACTCCACCTTTTACGAACAACCGACACATAACTTCTTCCGGGGGGGGATATGATGAGGATAATAATGGCGACATGACGGGCCGCGACGTCAGTCGCGCGTGGACGACACCCTGCCCGAAGGAGGGCAATAATGCCGACTCGATGTATGCTGACGTCACCCGCTCTCAGACCACGACTTTGCCGTTGTCTGACCCCGCGCGCTTGGCCGAGGCAGAAGAGGACGACGACCGAGGCTCGCCCATACCCTGCGGCAGTGCGGTTCTCCACGCAACGCCGACAGCAATGTTAGACGCCATCAGAGGTACGACCCTGCTCCTGTAGGTAGGCACATCAGGTAACACTATACTTACCTATAAATACCCCCGAGTTCTAACGCCAAGGGGGAGACACTTCTTCACACAAAAAATCCCCTCCGCGTCCACTGACTTAATCGTCGGAGGGGTCGGGCCGAGCTTCCAACCCGACCTGTGTGCAGGTACGAGAACGTGGTCGTCCCTTCCCGGTGCCGCGGCAAAAGCTTCCCACCCGACACGACACCCCGACCGGACCGTCGCAATCGACCACCGAGAGATCTCGAGGGACGCTGCGCGAGATCCCCGCCATTCGGACTCCCAACCAAGCCGCGTCGACCCCAAGGCCACGACATAAAGTTGTTTACACCAACAATTATGATGATGATGACCATATATCTTATGATCGCATACATCACATCCATTTATCAAAAACGATATATTTGGATTAATATCTTAAAAATATTTTTATATAATTTTATCAAACATACTGCATTCACATTAAAAAAATATTACTTCTTTATCTTTGTGTGCGAGAGAAATATACAGTTCATGGGAAACAAAATGATTTTTCTCTCTCTGTCCATCCCTCGGCCGATCTCTATCTCTATCTCTATCTCCTTCAAATATAGAGTAACAAAAAGAATAAAAATGCTGTGGACAAGGAAGCTGTTTCTCTCTCATCCTCTCTGTCTCTACCTCTTCCTCCTCGGACGACAGTGAAGGCCGACTCCAAGACAGAAGACGACGTGGGCATGCGCCGTCATGGGTAGTCCCTCCAGCAGATGAGCATGGTGACGCAGCGGCGCATGATGTAGAACCTCGCCCGCTGCTCCTTCACTAGGCTCGCGCACCGGCTGGAGAACGACTGCCCTGCCCTCGCCGCCGCGCTGCTGCTGCTGTTCCCCCGCCCCTCCCGCATGCTCGCTGACCCCTTCCACGAGAGGCCGCCGCCCTCTCTCCTGCTCCCCTTCTTGGACAGCTTCCACTTCTCATCCATGTACAGCTCCATCTCCAGATCTCACCACCACCAAACTTTGCCGTCTCCCTCCCAGGTTTTATATAGAAGGGCCGAAGAGAACGAAGAGAGAGAATGAAGCAGACTGGAGAGAAGAAAAGATGCAGCGAACACGGAAGAAGCCAAGCTGGTTGGGAAAGTGGGATTAGTCTGATATATATTTATAGAGGAGAGGAAGAAGGGGGTGTAACTTCGGGTCCTTCATGTCTCCACCCACAGACCCACACCTCCACCCACAGACCTTACCATTTGGTCCACTGATGGTGGAATCTAATGTTTTCCTTAAAGGAATCTGTTCCCGAGGCCAGCATCAGCGCTGCCTCCTCCTCATCCTAGTTTACTCCTCCGCCGAATCTCAGTCGGCTCTTTACTCAGTCTGAGGAGCTGCCGAGGCTAGAAAAGCCACACTTTTCGAGAAGACCGTGCTCCAATCTTCCTCATTATTTCCTTCTGCTGCTGCTGCAGCTGCATTACTGTGCTGAATCGCTATCGAGTTCGAATCTCAGATATTATATTTTCTTTCTTCCACAGAGCTCATGCATCACCACCGCCCACAGATCAGTGGCTGTGGTGCAGTCAAAGCAAGCAGAGGAAAAGGCTCTGCGTGTGCTGCTGCCCGAGGGGGCACCACTATCAAGCTTGAGCTTGAGGGTGTTTGAACTCACTGATAGTTTGCATTAAAACCAGTGCTCGTTCTCGGTGCGTCTGCAGTGGGAGCAAACGTCACGGCCTGGAAGCTACAGTAGAAGCGGTGGCGGTGCCTGACAGGCCGGGGAGGATCCAAAACGTTTCACTGCGAGCCTCGGTTGCATCAACAGTCGGTACTCCTCCATGGCGTGATCAACTCGTTCTGTAATGGATGGATGTCGTACTTGGTGACCACCATTTCTATATGCATCATGTCCTTCATGCTCTCGATTTCTTCTTCCTCGCGATGGCAGCCATTCATGTGCAGTCAAAGACATTTTATTGATCTGAGACAAAGAGTTAGGTCGGAGAAAAAGAGATGATGAGAAGTCAGGTGTTACTTGAAGATGATCATGCAAATTATTCCTGAGATAGTGACGATTTAGATCGATCATTTTATTGATTTGAGAGGAGAATCTTAGTGTCCTCGTTTGCCAGGTGTGGTCTCTGTCCTCGTCCGTTGGTCCCACACCGCCGGTCAACGGTCAAAGCAGATCCAGCCACCGTTCTCTGGAACAGTAGCTCATGTGGACGCAGGTCACGTGCATCGAGATGGAAAACATGCAGATGAGTCACTTCCATGTCTGTTCTTATCTAACATCATCTTCCTCTTTCCTCGCCATACCATAATCTATCCATAAACATGGAGAGAAGGACGTGAGTCACATGGACAACAGTTCATGTGCACCAGACACCACCATGCATGCTTTGTGCTCGACGGAATGCGGCAGTCAAAGATTTGTATGTGAGCCGTTAATGACCCATACATACACCGTGGACGATGATGGGTTCAGGTTTACGCTGCACAGAACAAGTTGGGTAGATTAGATGGAGCAGGAAGAGTTGAGCAGTAGAAGTGCTTTCGGGAGCATGTGATCACATGTCTTTTCATTTATTGGGCGAGCACAGCAGCAAACGACGAGCCTTTGACCGCTTGTTTCTTCGTCCTCATCTGCCTTGGAACGGCAGCGATGCATGTGGGTGGCGGAGACACGGCGCCGCCATGGAAGTCCGGTGGCTGTTTGCGCTCCACATGACTCCATGTGATCCTCGTGTACCAACCTACACTTCATCCCCGACGTCATCCTCCTCCTCCTCCTCCTCCTCTCTGGCTGGACCAAAGCTTTTTGATGAGCCAAATAAGAGAGAGAATGGAGCTCTGATTCTTTCACTATTGTAGTACATCAACCTTAGGAAAGGACATGCTAATTAACTTTGTTTATGAGGATGCTCAAGTTCCCCAACTTCAAGAAGCTCTTTAAGATAAACACATGATGCTCTTATTAGTACGATAGCAATATCAAATGTTTGTCTACTTTATCAGATGGTAAATATTGGCACCAACACTGTCCCAAAATCATTATATTAGTACAATGACAATGAAACATTTGTCTACTTCATCAAGTGACAAGTGCTCAAGCGGTCACTCTCAAGAGTATCAGAACATTGGATGCCTCTTTAGTCTATTTCATTTTTCTTCTTTGGATATGACCTCATAAAAAATCTTGATAGTGTCATTGAGATCCAAGGCAGACATCCTTATCCCTGTGCTTCGATCTCCTTGTGTTATAATGAGTTCTTCGCCATCGTTTGCAGTCCAAGAACATCAATGGCAATGTATAAGCCTCGGAATTACTAGTATTACAAAGAGAAGAGCATTCTTGAATATAGATACAGAGGAACAGAGGACCTAACACTGAGCAAGCATCATATAGAGTACAACAGCAACATCTGCTATCTACAAGACGCCACCTTTGCCCCACCGGTGTCAAGCGCAGGCCTCCCTCCTGGGCGCCAGGGCAAAGAGGGCCTCGAGATCGGGCGGGTGGAAGTAGCCGTTCTTGGGCGGGTCTCTCCTCTTGCCGAATGCCACGGCGGGGGACTTCTTCCTGGGCGGCGGGGGGCACCGGGTCGCCGCGGGGATCCTACACTCCGCCCTCCTGGGCGTCTCCCACCCTCCTGTCTCCCGTTCCTCCGACGCCTCATCCCGCCGCTCTATCTTTATCTTCCGCAACCCCAGAATCGCCACCTCCATGTCGCTCGCCTGCTTCGAGGAGAGAGGATTTCAAACGAGGATTGGGAGGGAAGAGTTTGGGAGGGTTTTGGGGATATATATATATATAAGAAATAAAAGAAAGGTGAGGTTTGTGTGGGATGAGAGCGGCGGGAATTGGGCGGCGACATGGCGGGAAAACCCACCGCTTATTCGCGGGTTTTTTTTTTCTTTTCTTTTTCTTCTTCTTATAAGAAATGCTTTTCGTAGCCGCTCGGAAACACACACTCGGCTACCCGCGCCACTTGTCCGGACGCATGACGGGACCCACGCAAATCATGAGAGAGGTGGGATGCTGCGGGTGGCAGTTTCCTCTGTTGTTTCTTAAAACACCGCCTCGGGTTCTTTTCGTGGCACTGTTGCGGGAATTATCTTATTTCGAATTTTTCGAAAGAGGAAGGAAATCTCGGGAGATTTCGCAGCGCGGCGTTGTCCGACTCATTTTTGATTCGGTGAGTGCGGTGACGGCGCCGGGTCGGTGGCGGGGGACAGATACGGGTGAGGGGGGATGAATCCGGCGCGGCCCGCCGGGCTGCTACGGGCCACGTGCGGTGAGGAACGTCGGGTGGCGTCTTCACCGCGTCGGCTTTGGATTCTTGGCGCCCGTTGTAAATGCGGACCCACTAGAATGAAGACGTGGAATCAGGAGAAGGTATCCAATTGGTGGGAAGTTGCTGACACGGATCGGAGAACTTCTACGGCTACATCTCTTTCTAAATAAATCCAACGGCTCACAGTGTCCGGAGAAGGCCGCGGGAAATAGATCAAATGGGCCGAGTCTCATCATTTCTTGATGAAATCTCTTGCATGACACATGAATTATTTATAATTACATTTAAATTATACGATAGAAAACATTGATAAATCAAATTAGGTATTTGCGCATGCAGTCTGCACATATTCCACGAGAAATCACAACAAGAAGAGAAGTAGTGTGAAATTACACTCAATAGATATACATCCTAAAATAACGTCACCTGAAGACAATGTCTACATCCTATAATAATGAGATACACATCATGGTTAAATTTGATGCATTGCCGAGTGATAAGAAGCCACCTGAAATTTCAGTAAGAACAGATGTTAGTTTAGCCTCGATAAACAATGCCTTAGTACTAATATATTAGTTGGGCAGGATTAAACAAGTTGCAAGCTAAATTTCCGCAAAAAGTGCAGGTCATCCATGTCCATGAGTTAATAGTTCAGAGTTAATGTCATGGAAATCATTGGACCAACGTAAAATGCAGTTTATTGCTCATCCAAACGGTCGTCCATATTCATCTCTTCCAACCTTTTGCCTGCAAATACATACACTATCAATCACCTGGAATGTATTTGACAATCAAAAGGATTTTGAGTTCATCAGCCGAATAGTATCGCAAATCTGATCCAAATGGTGAATCTTGATACAAGTGGGGAATTTTTACCTGCCTCGAGTCCCTCGAGTCATAGATATAGACAAAATAGAGTCCTTCAGCAAGGATGTTTCAAGATTCCCACAGTTCAAAATCATGGAAGGAAAGAAAAGAATCCTTTTCTATTTTTCCTTATTGTTATCAAATTATAAGTTTCAACGACAATAGGCTCTTTCACCAATTTGTTGGTTTGGTGTGGCAAATGTATAATTCAAGAAATAGTGTCATAGATATAGACAAAATAGAGTCCTTTAGCGAGGATGTTATTCCACCTCAAGATTCCCACAGTTCAAAATCATGGAAAGAAAGAAAAGAATACTTTTGTATTTTTCCTTATTATAATCAAATTATAAGTGTCAGACGACAAGAGGATCTTTCACTGATTTGTTGGTTTGGTGTGGCAAATGTATAATTCAGGAAAGGCAGTCTCGGCAGTCTATTATACCAATGTAGTTTAAGAATAAATCAAATGATAGAAAGAAGGGGAAGGAGTCTGTTATTAGCTAATCTTCTATATTATATGCATCTGCTTCAAAACACACACATTGTCATATCAAAATGCATCATTAAATATTTTTTACTAATGCATGTCAAATATTCAAAAGTTCTCTAATTAGCGTTAGGGAATAAAAGGTTGAGACTTTCAGTCTTTTTATGATGACACCTCACATGATGCTTACTGCAGAGGTGGCAGAATGAGCTATTTAGATTAAATAAGATGGATGATTGATGCAAGGCCTTGAGATTTCATATCTTGTTTGGAACAATAACTCCACTGGTGTCTTTCAAAGTATTCAAACTCTTATTCCAATTTATTTAATTACTCGGAGCAATTTGGGCTAAAATTAGCCTATTTCTTATTTAGGGATGGTGGTGGTGATACAAGTCACAATATAATCATAGGTTTAGTATCTTGATTTCCCAAGCATATTCACGATGTGCCCCTGCACATCATGCGTCCATGACTGTGCTTCATAACATTTCTCTATCGGTGATTAGGCTTTGCGCACTCTCACATCCCCATTCATTGATATACGGAGTTCAATCAGGAATACCTTTTCAGCAATATCGATTCAAACATAATTCGGTCATGGCAAATTGTGACATAGTTATCTCTTAAAAATGAAAGTTGATGCATGGTGTAGTTTTCTTGCTAGAAAGTCTCTAGTGAGGATCAACACTCCACTCTAATTCAATTGACTGACCAAAACTGAACCAGAGCAGAAAAATAAAACCGCAAAAGATTTAAGGGATAACTGGTAAAAAAGAAGGATAACAACAAAGAAAGACCAGGAGTCTCTCCGTCTTCTCGACATAATAACAACTTCTAATATCACTGTTCTCATAGCAAATCCTTCCTTCAGGTAAAGTTTTCACTCCTAAAACCATATGAATCCCAAATTTGGGCCCATATATGATTTTCTAACTAAGTCCCCAGTTCCGAATCTTATAACATAGAAACAATAACGACACCATGCCCAACTTGAACTAAACACAACAACTACCCAATGTACGCCGTGAGCACATTTTCTATGCAGAGTAGAATAACAAAACCAAGCCAGAACCAAGAAATTAAAGATGACATGAAACAAACATAAACAAATAATACAAAGTAGATTTAGCCTAGTACTCAAATTGCATTTATGCAGGTGGAAGAAGCAAAATTCTTTTCATTAATTACCTTAGTGCTCTTCAAATGACTCTTCTTCACCAAACCACCTGGGGGGATCAAATCCGGTGCCACCTGCATATCACATTGAAGTATCAGTCCACTGACTAGTGCTTCCTAAACAGCAACCATGTCACTGTGGGAATTACCATGGAGGAGCAGTCAGAAGATTGATGTAGATGAAACAGATTGGAACATTGAATGCATCATTATAAGACAACAATTATGTAGATGAATTAGGGTTACATCACAAAGAAACATACCAAGAGGATTGCAACGGCAGAGACGCCAAGCTGTCAAGATTGTACCCTTAACCACACCATACTTTTTGTATGCCACCATCGAATACTCGCTGCAAGTTGGCACAAACCGACAGCTCGACAGCATCAGCGGCGATATTTCTCCTACCCAAAGATAAAACCTAGTACCATCATCAAGTAGCCAAACCCCAAAGACTGCATCAAGATAAAGCCCACAAACCCGCTTACTCTTGTAGAACTTGAGCATGGATAATGCCACTCTGACGCCCAAATCTTTGACCTCCTCATCTAGTATCAAAAGGCGAAAAGGAGGAGTAAATGGCGATCACGCATTCCGCCCAATATTAGATCCTGAGAGAGCAGAGGGTCGAGCCGAAACGCGTACCTTGCAGCGCCTTCCCGTTCGGGTCTTTCTCGGGTCCGTTCGTGGGGGACGATCGGACGCGGGAAAAGGGTCTCGTCTGCAGGACAGAGTTATATAGAGAAGGAATTGAGCTCCGGGGAGGGGAGATCACGACAGACCGATGAGGAGAGGGAAGGCGGCGAAGAGTTCCGAGAGAGGGGCGCGGCGGTTGCGCACGGAAACGAGGGTGAGATGACGCCATGGGAAAGAGGCAATAAGAATGAGAGGTCCTCTTATTTTATCACGTGGATTAAAACGCTACGTATTCTTGTAACGGTAATCACAACCGTTTTGGGCGGTCTCCGATCAGCCCACTCGGCAACGATCGAACCCGGTCTGGCCCAAAACTTAGGAGCCCAACGATCGAACCATCTCCCTCCCTCTCGTATTTATTTTAAGCTTTGGATCCAAAGATTAGGCAAAGCAAATGTGTTGTGTTCCTCATGGAAGTGATAAATCGGGCACATCACTATGTATTGGAGCATTATACATTAAGATGATTACCGTGTCTTAGGTTACGGCTTGCCTCAAGTCTTTTATGTCAATGAGTCACAACATTCTTTGCTCGGACCTCAGTGTGTTCATTATGCTATTGAGAAGCTCAAATTGAATAGGAGATTGTTGCTTGCAGAACCTTAAGCGTCAGTTTGTTCCTTAGACACGAACTGCGAGTTTTTGAGAACTTGTAGGGAAATTTGGAAATAAAACAAGTGTTTGAAACTTTTAAGAATTTAAATGCTTGTGAAAATTGCCAATATTGACATATTTTGTTCATGCTGCAGATGATGAAGGAGAGGGTGCAGCAGGATAACATTTGATGAACTGCAGATGATGAACGAGAGGCACCAAAAAAGAAGCAACTACAGGCATCAAAACTCAGTTAAAGGTAGCATGGTATATTTGGAGACGCCGTAAAATAAGCATATAGCACTGTAACTCGTTGAAATAAGCATAAGAATTGAAAATTCTATCGTGAAACAAAATAAGCAAAAGGATAACATTACTCACTCAAATAATATATATTTACACAAGTCTACTAATCAGTCAAAAGTATCAACGTTAGAAATAGGTAGTTGACGTTTGACAACATAACCTCTAACAAAATAGAAATCGATGATAATATGTTTAATGCATGAGTGGAACATCGAGTTGGACAGATAGCACCGACATTATCATAATATATTGTATGGGTAGATTGTAAGATGATGCAAGTTCATATAGTAGATTAGTGACCAAATTGAGTTTTACAACCATGGTGGTGATAACTCAATATTCAACTTCATTTTTAAATAGTGGATTTTAGCAATTATATTTTGTTTCTTAAAACTTCAACTAATCAAATTGTCTCCAAGAAAGATAACGAAGGCTGATGTAAATATTCTATGATCAGTGATGAGTGTTTACAATGATAAAGTCTCTTTAAGATATTATAAGATATGTTTTAGTGCAGACCAATGACTAGTGATGAAACAATATATGAATTATGATAATTTATTAAATATAAATGAAATGTCTAAACATGTGAGAGATAAATACTAGAAAGAATCAAGTATTTATTTGTATTATGCAAGATCTGTAGTAGGGCTGCCATAATATAATTTAAATAACTCAATGATAGAGAGTGGGGTGGCATCTTCTTTGGCCGTTCATCTTTGATAATAAATCTCAAATATACTTCTTTTAGGATAGAAAAAATATAAAAGATATGAATGTTACTTCTACTCCAAGAAAATAACTTAAAGTTCTTATATCTTCGATGGAGAATTAATATACTAATTGCTTATGAAATTACTTCATCTCACTAAAATTGTTACCTATGATGATAATATAATCGATATAGACCGATAGATATATTATATATCTCTTTTATTATCGTAGAAAATAGACTTAGAGTTGATGAAGTTGGTTGACATAAACTAATAAGCCAAGTTTGGTATATCAAGCTACTAGAGAGAGACAAAGTCCATAAATAATTTTTCATGATTTACTAACATTGTTTGGATATTGAGAATGGATGAAACATAGAGTTGTTGCACAAAGAAATCTTTAATTAATGTCCCAACGTAAGAGAGCATTATTAACATTCCATTTGCACACATACTAACCATGAGTAATAATCAAACTCAAGATGAGTCGAATTAACATTGGTTTAATAATTGGACTAAAGGTCTTTGTGAAATCAACAACTATTTATTGGTGAAACCGTTTAGCTAATAGACGTGCTTTGTATCTAGCAATGAATCAATTTGAGTTTCACTTAAGTCGAAAGATTCACTTACACCCGATGATATTTTATATAAGGAAAGATAGTATAAAGGTCCATATGATATTATGAAATAAGGCATCATATTTCTCATTCATAGTTTTAAGCCAGTGTGGAGATTTTTAGGCTTGGATGATGGTTGTGGGTTTAGTAGGTTTAAGTGGAGAGCTTATAGTAGTATGGAGATTATAAATTTAACATGGTCTGAAGATGTCATTTTTAGAGTAGGTTGTCATGTTCAAGCTTAGTAGTATTATTGAATTGTGTTGAAGGTGCAAGAATTGGTGAAAAGTTAATAATACGTACTTGATTAGGCTAATGCACCTTAGTATCACTTAGTCGAGAATAAGACAAAGGCATCTTTTAATGCTGAGGGTATTGTTTCATTAGGGCATTGCAAAGTGAGTTTATAGAGAAGTAGATGGAGAAGTTGTAGAGGGGGTGAGGTGCTACTGAATTGAAGTAATAATAGAGTATAGATTTAGATGAGAATTACTGGATAATACAATGAGAGGTACACTTGAGGGAGTTTGAGATTTACTCATATAAACCTAGTGATGGATTATTGTTATAGTGACTCGCATTATTGAAAGAGCAAGATTTTAGAAGAAAAAGATAGATTAAAAAAAAAATATGACATGATACAAATACCTTTTGAGTTTGAGGATTATAGCATGAAAAAGCATCATATTTAAAAGAGTACTCAATAAAGATGCAAAGCTTATATTTTGATGTTAAATTATGTAAAGCAAAGAGACATAGCTAGGGATAATATAAACAATTAAATAATTTAAGTTTTTTAAGATTTAAGATTTTATAAAATAAATTTTTAAATAATGATTAATGTTGTAGGATTGGGATAAGCATATAATTACTGAGATAGACTATAGTTTGAAAGACTGTTAACCAAATAGTTAATGACATATTGGCTTGGTATAGGAGGGTGAGACCATTTTTTAATTGTGTCAGTGCTTATATTTGACATAGCCAAATAGTTAATGACATATTGGCTTGGTGTAGTAGTGACTCCAAATTTATATTTAAAAGGATACAGTCATATATATTTAGTGAAGTAATATATGAAAATAACATAAAATCTAAAATTATCAAAACAGGTGGTTGGGGTAGGGCCTCACACATCAATGTAAATAATTTCAAGTGAATTGAAGTAGGGCCCAAGACATCATTATAAATAGTTTCAAGTGATTTGGAGTAGAATACCTTCTAAAAGGTAATTGATGACTTTTATTATTAAAGCAAACATCATAAATGAATTATAATTATGCATGATTTAGAAGTTCGAAAATAGTAATGAGAAATTAGTTATTGTTGAATGGATAGTGACGAATAACCAACGTAGCGATGTTATACATCAATTGAAGCAATAACTTAAGTAAAATTGATTAGCTGAATGATTTGTGAATCTAACAATTACTGTTATTTTTCTTATAGTCTTAGAACCACAAATGCCCACATGTTTATAAAAAATTAGAAAAAAACCTCAATAGTAGTGTTATTTTATTTCTAGAATTTAAAGACAGAAATAATACTCTTTTTTATATAAGGCGCACCTAAAATATTGAGTGTAAAAGTGTTTCTATGAATTAAGTATTGTGAAATCTATTGAGTGATATGGATCTCATTACTGTCACTAACGATGATGTCTTCATTGTCTCCATAATTAGTATAGATGAATGAATTCTATAATTTAGATATCATGATGAGAAGCACTAGAGTCAATAATCTAATTGCTTGAATGAACAGTTGGAGAAGTCATGATGTTTGCTTTAGTCCAACTGAGTGTGGCAATAGGTTTGGGTCGAGATCAGAGTTGATAGATGATTTTTTTACTAATTGTTATTATTGAGATGCCAAAACTACTGATAATGCAGTTGAAGTTATTTTCTGAGTTGTTTAGATTAAGGTTACCACCTTGATTAGAGAATTAATAGTATAATGGAGGATGATAGTTGTGTTACTCTAGGTGGCATTTTGTTTGACCATTTATTGAAGTTCTTGTTTGATTGTCTTTTCCTTTGAATTTTTGATTGAATAAAGTTGTGATAGTTGGTCTTGTCTTCATCTCTTTTTATTTCAGATATGTTTCATGATCAATCAACTTATTATATAGTTTTTCAAATGACATTGGTGAATCACGTGTCTTAATTGTTACTATCATTTTCTTATATTCATATTTTAGGCCATTGAGAATATGAACACTCATTTCTTAATCACTTGGGGATGTCTTATTGAAGCAAAAGCATCTAATAATAACTTTTAGATTTTATATATAATTAATAATAGTACTTTCCTTTAATGTTATTTTCATCGGACTAGATAAAAGTCTTGGCTTGTGAGTGCAAGATCGATCGGCAAGGATGACTTGTAATTTGGACTATGCTTTTACTGTAATACTATATGAAGAAATTAATAATGGTATGGAGGTAACAACTAAGGCCTTGTAGTATAAGTCGATCTGGTCGTAGTCATAATTTATGAATTGAATTTGTCATAGGGATGAATTCTCTTGATATGTGAATCTTTTATGGTCTATAACTAAGAGAATCATTGATGTAGCTTAATAAATAATATCCAAAGAAGAGATTGGTGAATTGTGTTTGCCAAGATATATAGTTCTTACCATTGGAGAGCTTGTAGGGGATTTATGTTTTTGTATTGATAGATATGATTCTTTTAGGTAAAGATGAATTATTATTTTATAAAAAAATTAATAATTAGAGTGTCAAATATAGAGGAGGAAGATATGCTGAGAAAAAGTTGTGATCTAATAGGGGAAATCTAGAATCAACTAATGATCTAATTTGGATCCGGTAGATATCTAATTTGTTGGAGGAGATCCGATTTGATAAATGCATAGGGGAGGACATGCAATGGAGGAGATTACAAATGATAAGAGTATAAGGGCGGATATGATCTTAGATGTGCGATCGAGAGGATGATGAA